AAACATCATTATGCTCCAGCACAGCAAGGTTTTACCCATAAAAGCAACATTTCAACATCACTGTTCCAGGAAAGAGCTTGCCCTTAGATCCTTGTGATGTTTTTACATGCTGAGTCCATCTCTACATTAGCACTGTCTCATTTTAAGACAGATGCACAGAAGAGCTGAAGTATTTCTTGGAATTTTTTGGCAAGAAAATACTAGATGTGTCATTTATTTCCTATCTATCCCCCAAATAAAGCCTACCTAATCTAGCTCATTTAGCTTTACAGGGGCATTAGCAGAATTCAGTCTGGGTGTAGCTTTGATGTAGTTTAAACAAGGCCATTCAGAAGTCTGGGAAATAATTTGAAAGGCTTTTAGTGGCACTTAAAAAAAAAAAAAAACATACACAGCTACTCCAGATCAGTTCGCAGCTGCTTGAAACACTCTAAACTCACTACACCTGGGTCCTCCCCACCTCCATTTCTGTCTGTTTTTTAAGTGTTGCAGTTTACGATTTTGGAAGAGCCAATAACGAAATAAATCCAAAAACACCCTGGTAAGATGACCTATGCTTCTCACTGGAAAACATCATTCGAAACAGGTCCGGGTAGAGGAATTTCAACTGGAACTTCAACTGGAAAAGCGGAGTTCAGATTGGTACGGGAAAGTCATATTGAGCTTGCATGCAGAAGTATTATACTAGTGTGATTAAGCCAACAACAGGAAGAGATTTATGCAAATACAAACATATTGAAGAAATATCAGTTGTAAAGATGAAAGTAATTAAAACCTCCACTGTGCAGAAGAGAGTTCAACCACTCTACCAGAATAAAAACATACAAACATTAAGACAGCTCTACTTGAAGGGAAATACAAGGTTCGGTATAGCCATAAGACGTTTGAAAAGGGAACCAAAGCTGTTATTTTGTCAAATTTTAAAAACAAGATGATAAAACTCCCTGGCAGTTTCAAGGTCATTTGTATGTGTCTGCTGTTGCAAATGCTGTAAGCATATCACAGCAATAGCATCCTTTTCAAACCGTAGGAAGAATTACCATTTTTTGTATTTGCAAACAAAAATATGTATGCATAATAGCTACAAAGCAGATTCAAAGTCCACTCTTAAACATTCAACTCTAATATAACATTTCCAAAAGGCCATGAAAGAGAGGGAAGAGGAAGACTTAATGTGATTTCTACAATCGAAATCTCCCTAAGATTAAAAGAAAAAGGCAAAACTCAAGGTCTAGCTAATATCCTGGTGGTTATCTTCCCTTAAGAGGACAGATTCACACTTGCTGGAATATTTTCTGGACCCTTGGATTAATTTAACTAACAGTGGTCATGAAGAAAGAAATAAGGAAGTCAGCACAGAAAAATAAAGAGTGTCTTGCCTTTTAGTAAAAGAATACATACATACGTGTGTGTGTGTGTATACACACACAAACTCCTACATACTGTTAAATACTCAATTAACCAGGAATTACTAGTTTATCAAACATAACACTTACATAAAGTGCCAGACACATAAGTCTTATCTAATTACTAAGTTATATAATGAAAGTTTTCTTCAAAAGCTCCATAAACGTAGCAACATATTTAGTCTCATAGACTTCATTTAAATCATTCTTTTAAATTTTGCAGTAATATTTCCATTATTCCAACAATCTATAACCACATTTAAACTGCTGCACAGAAATCTAGATCAAACTACGCAACAGAGAGATTATAGAGGGAAAAGGGATACTGAACTGTCTTCCCTGCCGAGACTAGCTATTTTAGCCATTATTATTGGTACTATGTAAATGAAACAAGTTGCTTTAATCCCTCTCTCCAACAAGACTAAGGAGGTTTTTTTTTAAATGATGCAATTAACTGAAAATAAAGCCAATGCACATTACCTACAAAGAGGCCAAAAAAGATGAAGCCTAGCAGAATTTAAAAGAAAAAAAGGATAATGAAGAGTCCCACAGAAGCTCACTTTACTGATTTCTCTGCAAGAGTTTCCTGTAAAACAGCACTTATTGGCAAGGTCAGCCCCAATACTTGATTGGTCACCCCCAATATTGGATGGGGGGGGGGGAGGGGGGGGGGCCATGAGACCTGCCCCCGAGCAGCCACGCCAAGGGCGAAGCTCTCTAGCAGAAACTTTGAGATTGCCCTCAAAACATGCAGCAAGCTTTTCTTCTCCCGCCCCCTCCACCAGCATTCCCGCTTTCGGTTTTCGCATGGTGCTAAAGCCACCAGCCTCCTACCC